AAAAAAAAAAAAAAAAAAGATGAGGTTATACTGGATTAGGATGAGTCCTAAATATGACTGGTGTCCTAATAAGAAGACCATATGGCCACACACAAAGTGAAGAAGGTGATGTGAGGATGGGGGCGGGGACTGGAGTGATGTGTCTACAATCCAAGGATGGTTGGCAGCCACCAGCTGCAGGAGAGATGCCTGGGACAGATTCACCCTCAGCACCTCCAGAAGGAACCAGTCCTGCTACCACTTTGACCTTGGACTTCTGACTTCCAAGGCTGTTACACAATACGCTTCTGTTATGTGAAACCACCCGGTTTGTGGGTATTTGTTACAGCAGCTCCAGGAAATTAACACAGAAACTGACTGATTGGGTTGCGGTGGAGGCAGCAGGGAGGAAGACTGAGGTGGAGCCTGGGGCACTGTCCAGGTGGGAGATGCTGGGGGCCGCGGTGGGGACCGTGACGGTGGGGAGAAGTGGGCAGATCCATGAGTCCCAGTAGCAGAATCGACAGCACCTGCTACATACAAATACTTGGCTCTGTGCCTCGTATACACTGAGTGCTTGGTCCAAAGAGGCCAAGGTCAACACGCTTGACTTGTTCCACACCAGACTCAGCGAGTGGAGGAGGGAAATCCCCACTCACCCCCACCCCACAGGGCCCTACCTGCCAGCATCCTGTGAGATGGTCACCGACACATCCAGGCCCAACGTGGTGACTCGCTTGCACACAGCATCCATGTCGATGATGGAGTCAATGCTTTCAGGCCCATCCTCCACGCAGCACTGGGAGCCGGGGCAGAAGCGGCAGTTGTCCAGCCCCTTGTAGCCCTTGTTGTGTCCACATTTCTCCAGTGTGACTGTGGTCGCCATGCCTGACACCCCCACATGCACCACCAGCTGCATATAGACAGGGGCAGGACTTAACATGGCCTGCCCATGGGACTCGGAGGAGGTCCCCCTGAGGCCAAGGAAAAGGCAGCATCCTTACTGGGCTCTGCCTGGGGTTGTGTTATTTCTGACCTCCTGCTGCTGGAATAGACCCTGCAGTCACTCTTGCAAAAAGGTATGCCACGTAAGACAGGCAAGAATTTGAAACATGCAAGGCTGTTCATTGCAGCTCTTCCTGTTATCGAAATCAAATACTGGAAACAAGCTAACTAGACATCCAGACGGAGTTAGTTCAATAAATAATGAGCTACTATGCAGCTGTTAAAATGCCAGCGCAGTGTTTTTATTTGTTTCTTTGTTTGTTGAAATGGAGTCTTGCTCTGTCGCCCAGGCTGGAGTGCAATGGTGCGATCTCAGCTCACTGCAACCTCCCCCTCCTGGGTTCAAGTGATTCTCCGGTCTCAGCCTCCGGAGTAGCTGGGATTACAGATGTGTGCCACCACACCCGGCTAATTTTGTATTTTTAGTAGAGACGGGGTTTCGCCATGTTGGCCAGGCTGGTCTCG